TTATTGTTCAGTTTATTTGTATGATAGCGATTGTTATCATTGTCAATTCATTGAGGTTCTCAAAGATGGTTTTGTAGCTCCTCTCATCATAAAATATCTACTGCGAGCTGTTTTAGGGCATAAATTAGAACTGGAATACCCACCGACATTTACACGACTCAGAGCCGAAAGTTCCATCACTAATAATAGTTACTGTTGGCTTATATTCACTTCATCACGTGCTGCACGCTTGTTCCTTGTTGAGGTGTGTAAGCCTTCTTGTATTCTTAATGTTCAATTTGCTTCTAAATTCTAATCGCTGGTTTTTGTTTTAGCCATCTTCGGTAAAGGTGGAAGAGGTTGATTCAATCGGTGACATATATCCCGGTTTGGATCTCGGCGATCTTCCAGGATCTGCAATTAGGTGAATTTGTGGAACTTATTATTTGATGAGCTATTGCGGATCCTATCATAAGATGAAATAATCATAATCAAAGCGCTCCTCTCATTACTTCGAGTGTTTGAACTGGTTTCTATAACAGCCCAAATTTGAAAGTGGTGCTGTTTTGAGCAATCAAAACTGTGACATTTCTCCGCAAAACTGTCAAATTTTAGATCTTGTTGCATGCAAACTTCCAAATATCGATGGTCAGTGCTGGGTTTTGATACCGGCTATGTCATCGTGACAACATTCTCTCTGCAGACCAATTATATTATTGATAGGTAAAGCGAAAATTCATTAATGGATATTTTTACAAGATATCATGTCATGTAACTATAAATCATATGATATTGCAATTCGTAATTCAGTCATATCAGCAAGTTGAATTGAGTTGTAACAATAGTAATAGTGAGTTAAGAGAGTTATAATAGTAAGCATTTTTATGCGATCGTTATTGATTTGAATAACTCTCTGATACTCAGTGATAGTATACTCTTGAGATAGTAGCTGAATTGAAGAGGTTTATTGAATTTTATCGCATTTCCATCGGAAGAATCGCGTTCATTCAGTAAAAATCTAATTGTGTTTGTGAAAATTATATTCTCACTTCTTCAAGAATCATATTGTGAGATAAATTCATTGAATGTCTGATTGTGATTAATTCAGGATGAAATTGAAATTTTCTGGTGCAATATCGGTACTGCAATTACTGAGATTGGATGGTCGTGATGATAAGATTCTGATTCTGATCTCATCCACGTTGGGTCCTGCGGCTGTGTGGAGTTTAGCGATGTCGGCGGATAAGAGTCACTTCGAGTGGAAACGTTTGTCGGTGCTTGATGAGACGAAGGGTCACGATACAGTCGTTTGCTCGACGGCCACGCAAAGCATGGTCGCTATCGCCACCTATGATGGTGTAAGAAATTGTTTGCTTGTTTTGCAGTGATGTTGCTGAAGCGTGATGTTTTCACCGAAGAAATTGTGCCATAGTTTGCTCAGATCTTCAGCTGGTAGCTGATATTCTGCAAAATATTCTGAACCTTCATATGTAAAATATCTGAACCTTCTAAATATAAGTATATCTAAAACATCTAAAAATATCGAAATATATATCTAAATATCTAAAATATCTGAACCTTCATATCAAAAATCATACCATTCCACCCTCTTTATCAAGTGCATCTTCAACAGTTTCCACCAAGTCATATTCAACCCATGATTCATCCTATCACTAATTTGCAAGGTGAAATTGATTTGGATACGATTCACTTCCGAATGAATGGTGAATCGTAACATTCGCAATGTGAATCATATCCAGTTCAATTTATCAATCATTTTAGCCGTCGTCGTTCAGTTGTCCAAATAATTCGTTTAGGAATACATTCAAGGTGAATGAATACACCCTGAATGAATGAATGAATTCATTCATTCAGGGTGAATGAATTCTGAACCTTCGCAGTCATCCAATTCATTCCAGTTATGTAGTTCAAGTGTCACGCTATATTTTGAGTTATTCGTTGAACATTTGTTAAGTTTATTGCAGTCAATATTTGTTTATCGTCATGAAGATCTGCTCACTGAAGAACCAATCATTCGTTCATCGTCACAAATCGAGAATCCCGCACCGGCGATGTCGCTGAAATTTCTTGACGAAGAATATTTGACTGTCTTATCAACGAGCGGATTACATCTTCTGGCCGCTCTCCACACTCCATCATCGAGTGTTTTTACGGATGATTGATTGCTTGATGGATCATTTGCAATGATTTGTTTTGTACAAACACTAAATTTATCTGCTATTTAAATTATCTTTATCAAGGTTTTCACCGCAGATTTTCGCATATCAATTAAGTTTTTGATGTGCAATCAGTCGACCACTTCGAGATTGTTCTATTTTTGAAGAGCAATTAGGTTTACAAGGACTTATTGTTCACTTTCCGCGGGTCGGTCCGGTATTGCTACTCTATTCCATGAACATTTTCAAGACATATAATGAATGTTTCATGTATGAATTTGATCACAGATCAATGAATTTCTTCGCCTGATCTGGAGCGATTGAAAAGTTTCGTATGAAAGACTTCCATTTGATCGAATTTCCCATTTCAAATCACATTTCACAAATTTCAAACATTCCATTCAGTAGTTTTGAAGAATTTATGTTTTGGTGCTATATTGTGTTAAATAAATTCCTCTGCTCCAAAATTTACCCATAAAGATTCATTCTCGGAGAGAAAGGATGTGTTTTTTTTCGTGTTACATATGAACAATGTAAACAAATTCGAAATATCATAGAATTTGCATCAGAAGAATTTGAACTTCCACCATACTACGTAAGTTGTGAGGAAGCATCGCTTACGAAAGACATTGGAACATTCCCTTCACAAAGACCATACATATAATTGTTTCATCGTAGGTTAGGAATCATGAATCTAATTATAAAACATTCCACAAGCATGTTGTTCTTTCCATTAATTGCGTTTCCATAATGTGTTTTTGAATGTCAAGTATATCCCTGGCTTGAGCTGTCGCCACAAATACCTCAAACGTACTTTTATCATGCGAATGCCAGTCATATCATATTCCCTTAACTACACGTAAAGTTCAAATCTAAAGGTTCTGAAATTCAAATCACTGGAGCAAGCGGTTGCTTGCAATGGCGATGAGAGNTTTCTGTGAAATGCGATGGTGTTTCGTGGTGAAACTGCACATAACTTTTAAGTCATACAAATACAACTGACCATATTTTGTACTGATTATTATGTTTAGAAAAAAAAACTATGAAAGTCAAACCACTCGTGTCTCTCGAAACATTCACCGATAAATACTTTATTCAATAAAGCTGTTCCAATTCCTTCAAGTGATCTTATAAGTAGATCACTTTGGGAAGCATAAGTTTCGTAATGTCAGGAATTCATGAATTAAAGTTTAAGCAGTTGCTACAAGACGGGAGCCATATTTTATTCGAGCTCATGGCATTTTTGTTGTTGTAACAGAGACTTGAACAAGTGCAGCTCGTTGATGCGTGTTCAGATTGGCGGATGCTGAGCCGTGCAGCTGTCGTTCTTATCGTCCGTTTACCATTGGTCTTCTCTCGAATCTCGATTATAATCGTCATAGTTTTTGCCAATAAAGAATTTCTTCTCTTGTTTCTTCCATGACGGTCGCATGAACCAAGGTGCTAAATTCAGTGCGCAATATCAAATTT